AGCGGCAGAGCATGTTGGTTCTCCGCGTGGGCACAGGCGACAAATTGCTTCGGTCGCCTCAGCCCAGGATGAAGCAGTAGCAGCAGCAGCAGCAGCAGCAGCTGCTGCTGCTGCTGCTGCACGGGTTGCTTCAGCACGGGAGGCAGCAGCAGCAGCAGCAAGAGATATGTCTCCTCTACTGTCTCCTTTTTCAACTTGCAGCCACGTGGCAAGGCGGCGCAGCAGCAGCATCTTCAGCAACAGCAGCAGCCACAAGGACCTGACAGCAGCAGCAGCAGCAGCAGCAGCAGAAGAGCAGCTGCTGCTGAGGGAGACACAAAGAGGAGACACTACACCCCTGTCTCCTGGTAGCACGCTGCTAGGGTCTCCTTCTTCTGCTGCTGCTGCAGCAATCTCGCCGATGACGTCAGCAGCAGCAGCTGCTGCTGAAGCCCGCCTCATGTCTATTCGTGCTAGAAAGATTAAAGAAGCAGCAGCAGCAGCAGCTGCTGCTGCTGCTGCTGCTGCTACAGCAGGGAGGGATACATTCTCTTTGCTTGAAGGAAGGAGACACAGGAGCTGCAGCACCACAGCTGCTGCTTGCGGGCACCGCAGCCACTGGGGCTCAGCAGCAGCAGCAGCAGCAGCAGCAGCAGAAGCAGAAGTAGAAGCAGCCGCAGCTGCTGCAGCAGGTCTCCACCAGGTGTCCCCAAGAGACAGCAGCTGCTACTTCAGCCGCAGCCCCTGCAGCAGAAGAGCGTGGGCTTCCTTGCTGCCCTCAAGGAGAAGCAGCAGCAGCAGCAACAGCAGCAGCTGTCTCTTCCTTGCAGCGGGAGAAGCAGCCGTTACTGATGCTGCAGGTTGCTGCAGCAACACAGATTTGCTGCTGCCACCCGTTGAAGTGTCTCCTCGCCTCAGTCCCCGCAGTCCCTGAAGAGCTGTTCTTTGCTGCTGCTGCTGCAGCTGCTGCAGCAGCAGAGGCAGCAGCAGCAGCAGCAGCTGCAGCAGCAGCACCTGCAGTAGCAGCACTAGTAGCAGCAGCAGCAGTAGCAAGACAGAAACAAAGCTCGCATACAAGCGTCCGCTGCAGCAGCAGCTTTGGTGCAGCAGCTGCAGCAAAGACGGTGGCTTTGTTGCTTGCTTGTCCCCTCTTGCTGCTGCTGTTGCTGCTGCTGCTGCTGCAGTAGATTGTCTCCTATATATCAATATACAGGTTCTCTGTCTCCTTCTCTGTTTGTTGGAGACAGTGTCTCTTGTATACTTTTGCTTCTTTTCTTCTGCTTGCTTCGCTCTTCATTATTTGTCTCCTTTCTACTCTCTGCTCGCCGTATCTCTTTTTGTTTGTCTCTCTTTGTCTCTCTTTATGTCTCCTTGCGTCTCTCTCTCTCTTCTTCTGTCTCTCTTTGTCTCTCGCTCAGTGTCTGTCTTTGTCTGTCTCGGTGTCTCCCTCTACCTCTGCCTGTCTCCTTTTAATATCTCTTGCTGTCTCTCTTTGTCTCTCTGTCTGTCTCCTCTTAATCTCTCTTGCTGTCTCTCTTTGTGTCTCTCTTCGTCTCCTTCTGCTCCTTGTCTCTCTGCTGTCTGTCTCCTTTTTGTCTCTCTTCTATCTGTCTCCTTTTTGTCTCTCTTCTGTCTGTCTCCGTTTTGTGTCTCTCTGCTGTCTGTCTCCTTTTTGTCTCTCTTCTGTCTGTCTTCTTTTTGTCTCTCTGTTGTCTGTCTCCTTTTTGTTTTTGTTTGAATTACCTGCTGCGTTTTGTCTCTTCTTCTCAAGCTGAGGAGTGTGGTGTCTCCTTTTGTCTCCTCTGTCTCTTTGTCTCCCATCTGCTGTCTCTCTGTCTCCTTCGTCTCTCTTCTGCTGTCTCTTTGCTTCTCATCTGCTGTCTCTTTGCCTCTCATCTGCTGCCTCTGTGTCTCCTTTGTCTCCTTTATTTTCTTTGTTTCTGCTGTCTCTTTATGTCCTCTCTTTCTTTCTTTCTTTTGCCTATGGTGTCTCCTCGTCTCTTGTGTCTCCTTTGTCTGCTCTTCTGTCTCCTTTCTCTGTCTCCTTTGTCTCTTTTGTCTCTGGTGTCTCCTCTGTCTCTGGTGTCTCCTCTGTCTCCTTTGTCCCTTCCGTCTCCTCTGCCTCCTTTGTCTCCTTTCTCTTTTGTCTCTTCTGCCTCCTTTGTTTCTTCTGTCTCCTTTGTCTCTTCTGTCTCCTTTGTCTCTTCTGTCTCTTCTGTCTCTTCTGTCTCCTTTGTCTCTTCTGTCTCCTTTGTCTCTTCTGTCTCTTCTGTCTCTGGTGTCTCCTCTGTCTCTTTTTGTCTCTGTTTGTCTCTTTTCTCTGTTTGTCTCTGTTTGTCTCCTTTATCTCTGCTGTCTCCTTTCTCTTTTTATCTCCTTTTGTCTCCTTTCTCTTTTTGTCTCCTTTTGTCTCCTTTTGTCTCCTTTCTCTCTTTAAAGGCAGTAACCAGACACCCCAACCGCTACCTACACATTCTCTAGAGCATAAGGCAGCTGTAGCTAGCTGCAGCTAGCTACAGCTAGATACAACCAGCTACAGCTAGCTGCAATAGTTAGCTAAACTCGGCTAGCTGTAGCTAATTTGAGAGCTAGCTAGCTAGCTAGTCTAGCTAGCCCCAGTTAGTAGCAGCTGGGTAGCTGTAGCTATCTTAGGTGTGGGTACTCTTAGCTAGTTGCAGTTCGCTGTATTTAGCTGTAGCTAGCTGTGGCTAGCAGCGGCTAGCTGCAGCTAGCTGGGGGTACCTGCAGCTATTTGGGGCTATCTTCAGCTAGCTTGGGCTCGCTGTGGCTAGCTAGGGTTGACTCTAACTAGCCGTATCTACCTGTAGCTAGCTGGGGCTAGCTGTAGCTAGCTGGGGGTAGCTGCAGCTAGCTGGGGGCACCTGTAGCTAGCTGGGCCTAGCTGCATCTACCTGGATCTATCCGTAGCTAGCTAGGGCTAGGTGTAACCAGCCGGGGCTATATGTAGCTGGCTGTAGCTAGCTGGGGCTGGCTGTAACTAGCTGTAGCTGGCTGTAGCTAGCTGAGGCTAACTGTAGCTAGCTGGGGCTAGCTAGAGGTACGCCTGATGCAGTTAGCTGCGGGATAGCCCTAGCTGTCCGTATGTGTCTGTAGCTAGCCAGGGCTAGGTGTAGCTAGCTCGAGCTAGCTTTAGCTAGCCCCGGTGTAGCTAGCTGTAGCCAGCTGTAGCTAGCTGGGGCTAGCTAGAGGTAAGCCTGATGCAGCTATGTGTAGCTAGCTGTAGCTAGCTGTAGCTAGCTGGGATTAGTTGAGCCTAGCTAGCCCGAGGAGCAGGGCTCTAATAAAGAGGGTATACACACATTGCGTTTAAAGCCCTAGTGGTGTGGGGTTTCAATAGACACTGCATGCATGCACTCAAACCCCTTCTAGGGTTTAGGGTTTAGGGTTTAGGGTTTAGGGCTTAGGGTTTAGGAGGTAAGGAGGGAATCGAAAAGGAGGTCATAAAAGCAGTGTGGGGTTGCAAGCCAGCTGTTCAATGTTTTATTTTAAGTGTTAGGGTTTAGGGTTTAGGGTTTAGGGCTCAGGGTTTAGGGTTTAGGGTTTAGGGTTTAGGGTTGTCAGCCCCGCTCGCATGCTCGGCATCTGCCCCCTAGCATCGCGGGATGGGGCGAGTAAAAACACTAAACCCTAAACCCTAAACCCTAAACCCTAACCGCTTAATTTCAGTTTTATCTTTTGTAAGCTTATTATATTTTTATTGAAGTTTACTTAAACCCTAAACCCTAAACCCTAAACCCTAAACCCTCGCAAATGCTGGCCGAAGATCAGAACGTTCCCTCTGCGAACAGCGAAGATGTTCCGGCCCCAACTTCTACAAAACCAATTAAGGCAAGCTAAACCCTAAACCCTAAACCCTAAACCCTAAACCCTAAACCCTAGAATCTCAGGTGCCGCACGCTGCACTGCCTATGGTGTGTCTTGCATGGGGCGGGAAGGAGGGCTTGGCGTCTGTGAAGTGTTTAGGGTTTATAGCAAGGGTTTAGGGTTTAGAGTTAGGGTTTAGGGTTTACAGTTAGGGTTTAGGGTTTGAAAGAGTGGGCGGCAGAGGTGTTAGGCTACCACCCGCCCCAGCAGCGCAGCACGGTTTAGGGTTTAGGGTTTAGGGTTTAGACTGCGGGTGGATTTGTTTAGGGTTTAGAAAACCCCTAAACCCTAAACCCTGAATATTTTCAGTCGTTAGTAATGTTGCTTATAGGCTTTTAGGGTTTACACTGAGTGTGTAGATCTTGCACGTCCCTTGTTCAATGATCTAGGGTTTAGGGTTTAGGGTTTAGGGTTTAGGGTTTAGGGTGTATCCACATAAAGCGTATAAGAATGATTAGAGTGTATATCAATAACAGTTAACTCACCAAATAATTTATTCTTTCTTCCCCCTTAACAATCCTGTCCACTGCCTACTCATCATCGCCTAGGGTTTAGGGTTTAGGGTTTAGGGTTTAGGGTTTGTGAGCAGTCTTACGACAACAAGCAATGGATGCACAGCCGCGGCGCCCGAGCCGCGGCGCCCGAGAGGTCCGAATTCTGTGCGAATATTTAGAAGTGCGCGACAGACTGCGCGCAAACAAAATATTCTCTTCTTTTGTTGTCTTCGGCAGCGCCAGAGCTATGGATAGACAAACGTGGGAGCAAAGGTACACTCTAATGCTGCTGCTGCTCCTGCTCCTGCTGCTGTTGCTGTTGTTGCTGTGCTGCTGTTGCTGCTGTTGCCGTGCTGCTGTTGCTGTGCTGCTGTTGCTGCTGTAATGCTGTTGCTGTTGTTGTTGTAATGCTGTTGCTGTTGTTGCTGTGATGCTGTTGCTACTGCTGCTGCTGCTGCTGTGATGCTGTTGCTGTGATGCTGTTGGTGCTGCTGCTGTGATGCTGTTGCTGTGCTGCTGTTGCTGCTGTTGCTGTGCTGCTGCTGTTGCTCATAGCAACCCTGCTGATGTGTTTGGGCTGGTGCTATGGCTGCTGCGGCTCACGGGGCATCAGTTCCTCTTGCTGCTGCTGCTGCTGCTGCTGCTGCTGCTGCAGTCGTGACACATCCTGTTGCTGCTGTTGTTGCTGTGCGTTTGCTGCTTGGTGGGTTTGTTGCATGATTGAGGGTTTAGGGTTTAGGGTTTAGGGTTTAGGGTTGATGGAGTGGTTTGATGGGTTGGTTGCAGGATGGCGGAGGCTGAGGCAGCAGCAGCAGCAGCAGACACTGAAGAAGCAGCAGCAGCAGCAGCAGCACAGGTAGCGAAGCTGAAGCGTTTAGAGTGGTGCTGCGAGTGGTATGAGAGGACTCGCGTGCTCGCGCGTCTCCTCATGGAGTGGGTGCAGACTGACGAAGCTAAGCAGGTCTGCTGCTGCTGCTAGTGCTGCTGCTGCTGCTGCTAGTGCTGCTGCTGCTGCTGCTGCTAGTGCTGCTGCTGCTCGTGCTGCTGCTGCTGCTGCTGCTCATGCTGCTGCTGCCGCTGTTGTTGCTGTTGCTAGTGCTAGTGCTGCTGCTGCTGCTGCTGCTGCAGTTTGTATGGCGCTGCTGCCTGTTTTGTTTATTTTAATGCTTCGTCTCTTTCTTCTTTTCTTTGTTTACCTGTTTATTTATTTATTTATTTATTTATTTAGTGCTTCTTTTGTTTTTTGTGTATTATTTTTCTCTGTTGCCCATATCCTGTCTAGGGTTTAGGGTTTAGGGTTTAGGGTTTAGGGTTTAGGGTTTAGGGTTTAGGGTAAATGGGATGTGTTGTGTGTTATAAACGAAGGCGATAGGGGAGATAATGCAGGAGCTGCCCGTATCTCTTGGAGGCTACGATTCACCTCAGCAGCAGCCGAACAACAACAGCAGCAGCAGCAACAATAACAATAACAATAACAGCAGCAGCAGCAAGATGATGATAAATGAAGAGATGTTATTCTGTCCAGCAGCAATTTGTACAGGAGGAGGCCCCGGTATAATGGAGGCAGCAAATAGAGGGGCGAGAGAAGTAGCCGGTGCTCGGAGCATAGGGTTTGGGATGACGCTGCCCTTTGAGGAAGGACTAAATAAGTTTATTGATAAAGAATTAGCTTTTCAGTTTCATTACTTCTTTACTCGCAAGTTCTGGATGGTCTATGCTGCACTTGCTGTTATTGCTGCACCTGGAGGTGTCGGTACACTCGACGAGCTCATGGAGGTCTTTACTTTAAAACAGTGCAAAAAACTTAAAAGAGATATCCCTATTATTCTCCTCGGGAAGACGTACTGGAACGTAACCACCAACAATACTCAATCCTCCTCCTGCTGCTGCTCCTGCTGCTGCTGCTGCTGCTGCTGCTGCTCGTGGTGCTGCTGTTGCTGCTGCTGCTGCTCGTGGTGCTGCTGTTGCTGCTGCTGCTGCTGCTGCTCGTGGTGCTGCTGCTGCTGCTCGTGGTGCTGCTGTTGGTGCTCGTGGTGCTGCTGTTGGTGCTCGTGGTGCTGCTGCTGCTGCTCGTGGTGCTGTTGTTGCTGCTCGTGGTGCTGTTGTTGCTGCTCTTGTTGTTTTTGCTTATCTTGTTGCTGCTCTTGTTGGTTCTCTTGCTGCTGTTCTTGCTGTTGCTGCTGCTGCTGATGCTGCTGCTACTCCTACTGTTGCTGGTGCTGCTGTTACTGCTGCTGCTGTTTTTTCTGCTCGTCTTGGCTTGGGTTTTTCTCTTTCTGCTAATCATGCTGCTGCTGCTGCTGCTGCTGCTGCTGCTGTTGTTGTTGTTGTTGTTGTGCAGCGCGTAATAGACTTTAAGTATTTAACAGAAAGCGGGTTGGTAGATGCAGCAGAGATGGAGAAGGTCTTTTTTACTGACGACCCTGAAGAAGCATTTCTATATTTAAGAGAGCAGCTGGTTAGCGGTAGACTGCTGTTGAAGGGTAAACATATTCATAAAAGCATGCGTCCAAGGCTTAACTGCAGCAGCAGCAGCAGCAGCAGCAGCAGCAGCAGCAGTGGAAATGAAACGAATAATGGTGCGAAGAGCAGCAGCAGCTAAACCTATTTAGGTGTATATACACCTCAGTGTGCTTCTGAGCTTATTATATTATTCTTTGGCTGCAGGTTTCTACGCTTTATTATACTTGGACAGACAGTGTATATAAAACAAATAAGATAATAAATAATAAACAAACAAGTAAATAAATAAATAAATAAATAAATAATGATGTCTTTATATAAATATATATAAATATATATATAAATTAATGATTGAATTAATTAATTATTTAATTCTTCTACAGGTCGCTTTTCACTGGGCCCCTCATACGAAGCCCCGCGCCCAGCCCCACAAAATTCAGGTGTACGTACACCTGAATAAGGCAGTGCATGGATGCATGCATGCATGCAAATGCATTTGCATGCATGCATCCAGTTTGTGCATGCATTTGCATGCAAAAGCATTTGCATGCATGCATAAAGTTTATGCATGCACACGCGGTGTACGCACACCTGGATGAAGGCGGAAACTGTTTCTAGCAAGTGTTTGTCTACAGAAGCAGCAGCAGCTGCAGCAAGAGCAGCAGCAACACCCCCTTCACTTACACCAGCAGTAGGCAGATCTCGGGCTGCATGCGCAGCAGTATTTATATACCCCCAAAGCAGCAGCAGAAGCAGCAGCAGGAATCGCAACAGAAGCAGCAGCAGCAGCGACAGCAGCAACAACAACAATAGAAGCAGCAGCAGCAGCAGCGACAGAAGCAGCAAGAGATAATAGACGCAACGGCAGCACAAATAACGGACAGCACCAGCAGCAGCAGATAGCAGCAGCAATACCAGCAGCAGATAGCAGCAACAGCAATCGCAGCAGCAAGAGCAGCAACCGCAGCGACAACAGTGTTTAAGGCAGGTGTGCCGTGATAGCCCACGAGGCCAAACCCTAAAAAAGGGTTTAGGGTTTAGTGATGAACCGTTCTAGGGTTTAGGGTTTATCCCTAAACCCTAGAAAAGGGTTTAGAGGGCCTCAGCCCTTCCCTGCCCCTCTGTTTCTTGTTGTAGATTAGTATGAAAATAATAATATTATAGTAATACAGCAATGAATAGAGTAAACTAAACCCTTTTTTAGGGTTTAGGGTTTATCCCTAAACCCTAAACCCTAAAAAAGGGTTCAAAGAGCTTTTTTGTTTTTATTGCTTTAAATAAAAAACAAAAAGAAATACAGATTAATTCTTTCAAAGTAAGACGCCACAGGGCCCCAGCTCGCCTCGGCGGGGGCCCCACAGCTCGAGGGTTTAGGGTTTAGGGTTTAGGGTTTAAGGGTTTAGGGTTTATAGGAATTTTTTTCGCCTCATAAATAATTTTGAATATTAAATTAAAACTTTTTTGTATATTTTTTGCTGGAAAGAAGAAGAAGAGACGCACTTCTTCTGCTTCAGCTGGGTTTAGGGTTTAGGGTTTAGGGTTTAGGGTTTAGGGTTTAGGGTTTGAGACCTGCAGCAGTGAAGGGTTTGGGATCTGGCCCAGGAGTTTCCAAGCACTACACCTTTTCTGTTCAAGGGCTTTGAAGCTAGGGCTTAGGGTTTAGGGTTTGAGACCTGCAGTTAAGGGTTTAGGGTTTAGGGTTTAGGGTTTAGGGTTTAGGGTTTAGGGTTTGGCATTCGATGCTCTTGGCGGGCCTCGGAGAAGATGCGGCTCCTTACGCATAACCTTCTTATGTGGTAAGCCTTCAGCAGCAGCAGCAGCAGCAGCAGCAGCAACAGCAGCAGCAGCAGCAGCAGCATTTACAAGGAGGAGTGCATCTGTAACGTCTGCGGGTGTACAGCGAATGACCCTATGAACCCTAAACCCTAAACCCTAAACCCTAAGTTTTGTATATTTCCCGTGGGTGTTTGCGTGTCTCCTTCAACTGTGTAGTACTGGGAGCGGTATTAGGGAGGCCAACGTTTGAGGGTTTAGGGTTTAGGGTTTAGGGTTTTGTGCTGCAGCAACCGGCGGCAGTGTTCAGGAGGATATCCTTTAAAAATAGAATTAGGAGACAGTGAAGCAGCAACTGTTGCAGTGGAGACAGAGCTGCAGAAGCAGCTGCTGCTCTCTTTGCTGCAGAAGCTGGATTGGAGCGCTCTCGTCAGCACTGCAGCAAAGGTCAGCGTACACCCCAAACCCTAAACCCTAAACCCTAAACCCTAAACCCTAAAATTCTAAACCCCTCTTCGAGGGATGTCACCTTACTCTCCAAACTTTTCCGCGCATGAAGGACTCGCAACAGTTCGGGTTTAGGGTTTTAGGGTATTAGGGTTTTAGGGTTTAGGGTTTAGGGTTTAGGGTTTTGCGGTGTACATGCAGCTCGGCATTGATCTGCCCCCCACAGTCTCCGAAAGCGATAAAGATGATGAAAACTTCTTGAGGGCCTTTCAGTCGGCAGTGCTGGACGTAAACCCTAAACCCTAAACCCTAAACCCTAAACCCTAAGGCAACCAGAAACCCTAACGTTTATTCTTTCCAGCTCCTCGTGATTAAAGGTTCACCTTCTTATGATTTAGGGTTTAGGGTTTAGGGTTTAGGGTTTAGGGTTTGGATTTCATGGTATCGGATTTACGGTTCAAGGTTTAGGGTTTAGGGTTTAGGGTTTACGGTTCAGGGTTTAGGGTTTAGGGTTTAGGGTTTAGGGTTTAGGGTTTAGGGTTTGTGTTTCAGCTGGAGATAATGGAGGGGAAGCTGGTCTGCCCTACGTGTCAAAGAGAATATCCTGTCTCCAAAGGCATACCCAATATGCTGCTGCAAGACGATGAGGTGTAACTGCAGCAGCTGCTGCTGCAGCAGCAGCAGAAGCAGCAGCAGCTGCTGCAGAAGCAGCAACTGCTGAAGCAGAAGATGCTGCAGCTGCGGAAGCAGAAGATGCTGCAGCTGCAGACGCAGCAGCAGCAAATGCAGAAGCAAGTGCAGCAGCAATTGTATCAGCATGTTCACCACCGGCTGCAGCAGGAGCTGCTGCAGTAACTGCAGCAGGTGCTGCAGCAGCAACTGCAGCAGCAGCTGCAGCAACAACTGTTCAAACTGCATTGGCGTATTAAGGCGGAGACAGATAATTCTTCTGTCTCCTTTTTGTTTGTCTCTTTATTTGTTTTCCTGTCTGTCTCCTCTCGCCTGCCTAGTAGAGCACGTGTCTCCTTTTACAGCAGCAGCAGCAGCAGCAGCAACAGCAGCAACAGCAGCAACAGTAGCAGCAGCAGGAACAACAGCAGCAGCAGGAACAGCAGCAGCAGCAGCAGCAGTTTCTGCTGCGTCTGCTTTCAGCTTTTTGTCGTGGGTATATTATTGTCTCTCTTTTGCTGTCTCCTTTTTGTGTTTGCTCGGCTGTCTCTCTTTCTTCTTTTTGTTCGTATTGTTGTTTTAATTTTGTTTGTTTGTTTTGCCTTTGATTATATTTTATTATATCTGATTATATATTATAATAAAATATAATAATATATTTTATTATATCTGCTGCTTCTTTATGTGTCTCCTTGCTGCTGTCTCATCTGTCTCCTTTTACTATTTTTCTGTTTACTGTCTCCTCTGTCTCCTTTTCTTTTTATTTATTTTTATTTATTTTATTGTCTCTCTCTGCTGGCTTAAACAGAGACAGAGACAAACAGAGACAGAGACAAATACAGGCGAAAGGAGACAGAGAAAGAGACAGAGAGAAGGAGACAGAAAGATAAAGAGACAGAGAGACAGAGAGATAGAGATAGAGACGGAGACAGAGAGACAGAGACAGAGAGAGATAAAGAGACAGAGGCAGACAGAGACAGGGACAGAGACAGAGACAGAGACAGAGACAGAGACAGAGAGACAAAGAGACAGAGAGAGACAGAGACAGAGAGAAACAGAGACAGAGACAGAGAGACAGAGACAGAGAGACAGAGACAGAGACAGAGACAGAGAGACAGAGACAGAGACAGAGACAGAGAGACAGAGACAGAGACAGACAAAGAGAAGAACGGAGACAAAGAAAATTGAAGAGACAAAAGAAAGTAAAAGAGAGACAGCAGCGCCCTGAGCAGCGAGGGTGCGCAGCAAGAAGAAGAGAGACAGTGCAGCAATTGATATGCTGCTGCTCTGTCTCTTCTTCTGTCTCCTTTTGTCTCTACTTGCTGCATATCGAGGAGACAGTTGATTAGTAGGAGACAGCCGACAAAGAGACAGCTGGGGCCTCTTTATCTCTTTGTTTTTGTCTTTATGTTGTTCTGTCTCTCCGAATATATTTGTTTTCTTTGTTATTTCTTCTTCTTTGCGCTGCTGCTTCTTTATTATTTGTCTCTTTTTAGCTGCCTATACACCCCAAGACCCCTCTTCTCCTCACGCTGCTGCTTAGCTCTTCTAAGCAGCTGCTAGTTATTCTCAATAAACAAACTGAGCTCTATATACAGCTCAACTGCATATATTGTTGCTGCAGCTGCGGTGTACATACACCTCTTTTTGTCTCTGTGTGCGGCCTACAAAGAAAGAAGCCGAAAAGATATTATTTATTTTTAAATAGTCTACTCCTCTATAAAACACTAATTGCAAACACAACACACGAAACTAGGGTTTAGGGTTTAGGGTTTAGGGTTTAGGGTTTAGGGCCGTTGACCGATGGTTTGGGGTCTCGAGGTGGAGCGGGCGGCGGCTCTGCGGTGTATAGGCAGCTGTTTGCAAGAAATTCTTTAAAATATTCAAAATAAACAATGAATAACACCCCGTGCAAAACCCTAAACCCTAAACCCTAAACCCTAAACCCTGACGCCGGGGGCCCTCGCAAGAGAAGATGTGCGGCAGGGTCTGCTGCACCCTAAACCCCCACCGCCTCTGCATAATAGCGGGTCTAGCTGCAGCAGCACAGCAGCATCAGCAACCGCAACAGCAGCTGCAGCATCTGCAACAGCAGCAGCAGCAGCATCAGCAGCAGCAACAGCAGCAGCACAAACCCGAAACAGCTGAAACAAAAACGGAGACCGAAGAGCATAAAAAGCTGCAGCATCTGCAACAGCAGCAGCAGCAAGAGCAGCAGCAGCAGCAACAACAGCAGCAGCAAATTAAAAAAGAGGGGAGTGTGCCCGAGGCAGCAGCGGCAGCAGCACAGGGTGTCGTAGCAGAAGCCGAAGCAGCGGAATCAAAGGCAGCAGCAGCAGCAGCAGCAGAAGCGGCGGAAGCAGCAGCAGCAGCAGCAGCAGCAGAAGCGGCGGAAGCAGCAGCAGCAGCAGAAGCGGCAGAAGCAGCAGAAGCAGCGGCAGCAGCAGAAGCAGCAGAAGAAGAAGCAGCAGCAGCAGCAGCAGCCGAAGCAGCGGAAGATGCAGCAGCTCTCACGGCTAAGGGAGCTGCAGCAGCGGCATGCAGCAGCTGCTCGTTGCTTGCTGCTTCAGGGGCCCTTGATGCTTCTCTGCTGCAGCACCCAATAAGGTGCTTCAATATCCCTCCATCGTCACGCCTGCCGGTGGTGCAGCAGCAGCAGCAGCAGCAGGGAGGCAGCAACAGCAGCAGGAGAAGCAGCAGAAGAGTTGTTGCTGCTTCGTGGGGGCTGCAGCTACACGGCAGCGACCTGTCTCCTTCTAATGCCCGCATTGAGACAGTACACACAAGCAGAGCGTTCAGGTAAGGCCTCTTGCTGCTGCTGCTGCTGCTGCTGCTGCTGCTGCTGCTGCTTGTGTTACTGCTTCCACTTGCACTGCTGTGCTGCAGCAGCAGCAGCAGCAGCTGCTGCTGCAGCAAATGCAGCACAGCATTCGTGCGTATAAATGAGTGGTCATTGGTGTGTAGAACATGGATTATGCTTTAGGGTTTAGGGTTTAAGATGGTTTAGGGTTTAGGGTTTAAGATGGTTTAGGGTTTAGGGTTTAGGGTTTAGGGGGCGTTGGTGTTTAGGGGTTTGGTGAACAAGCGTAGATGTGTGGCCGTCGTCGACGGCTTCTTCGAGTGGAAGAGACAAAAAGGAGACAGAGGGTTTAAGCAGCCTTTCTTCTATCGAATGAAGCACAACCTCCTGCGTCAGCTGCGCCTGCTGCTGCTGCTGCTGCTGCTGCTGTTATTGTTGCTGCTGCTGTTGTTGCTGCTGTTGTTGTTGCTGCTGCTGTTTTTTTTTTGCTATTGTTGTTGCTGCTGTTGTTGCTGCGCTGCTGCTGTTCTTGTGCTTGTTGTTGTTGCTGCTGCTAGTGCTATCGCTTATACTGCTGCTGCTGCTGTAGCTGCTGCTGTTGCTGTGCCTGCTGCAGTTGCTGTTGTTGCTGCTGTTGATGCTGCTGCTGCAGCAGTGTAAGCCGCCCGTGGCTGTACCTGCTGCTGGGGTTCTGCCTGCTGCTGTTGCTGCTGTTATTGTTGCTGCTGCTGCTCCCTTTCAGCAGCAGCTAAGCAGCGAGCATCCCGCTCTTGCTGCTGGTGTTGCACCTTCACGCCCTGGTTTAGTTGCTGCTACTGCCGTTGCTGCTGCTGCTGATGCTGCTGCTGCTGCTGCCAATGTTAAGAAAGATACAGTTGGGGTGTACGTGTTGCTGCTGCAGAGCGGCCTATCCCTTTCGGGGTATCCAAGCAGCAGCACCTGCGAAGCTTAAAAGCAAAGCAAGAGATCGGCAGCAGCAGCAACAGCAGCAGCAGCAGCAGCATCGACTGCAGCGAGAACAACAGCAGCTACAGCTGCTGCAGCAACCACAGTGATTCCCCCAGCGTGCTGGGCCCCGCAGAGGCCCCTTTGCTTCTGGGGTGTCTGTACACCGCAGCACATCCTGATGATTACAGCAGCAGCAGCAGCAGCAGCAGCAGCAGCATTTCCATTGCAGTGGTTACGATGGACTCCAAGGGGACACCAATGGAAGAAGTGCACAACAGGTCCGTTTGCTTTTGTTGCTGTTGCTGCTGCTGCTGCTGCTGCTGCTATTCATGCTGCTGCTGTTGGTGCTGCTGCTATTGCTGCTGCAATTTAATCTGCTGCTGATGCTGCTGCTGCATTTGCTGCTGCGCGTTCACTGCTGCATTTTAGGGTATATTGACAGCGTGAGTTTTTGTTCTTTAGGGGTTGGGCGTTTGGTGTCTAGGGTTTAGGGTTTAGGGTTTAGGGTTTAGGGTTTGCGACTGCTAGGATGCCGCTGCTGCTGTCTCCTGAGGGAGCAGCAATGTGGCTGGAGGAGACAGTTCCTTTTCTGGAGGTGAAGGAGACACTTGAAGAGGAGGCGAGGGCCCTAAGTGCGTGCACGCTGTCTCCTGCTGCTGCTTTTGTTGCTGCTTTTGCTGCTGCTGCATTTTGCTGCTGCTGCTGCTTTTCCCGATGCTGCTTTTGCTGCTGCTTTTGCTGCTGCTGCATTTTGCTGCTGCTGCATCTTGCTGCTGCTACTGCTTTTGTCGATGCTGATTCTGCTGCTGCTTTTGCTGCTGCTGCATTTTTCTGCTGCTGCTGCTGCAGCTGCTGTTCTTGCTGTTGCGATAGTTGCTGAGAGGAGGAAGCCTCGCAGCAGCATTAACATTTGTCTCTAAGTGCTTGTATATGGGCGTTCGTGTGTCTCTTCTTACGGGTTTATTTATTTGTCTCCTTTGTTTGATTGTCTCTACTTGCTTCTCTCTCTGTCTGTCTCTTTAGCTTCTATGTTTCATCAGCTCTTGAGGCTCCTGTCTCTTTTATCTGTCTCCTTTGTCTCTTTTATCTGTCTCCTTTGTCTCTTTTATCTGTCTCCTTTGTCTCTTTTATCTGTCTCCTTCGTCTCCTTTGTTTGTCTCCTTCGTCTCCTTTGTTTGTCTCCTTTGCCTCTTTTATCTGTCTCCTTTGGCTGTGTGCTGCGTGCCTTTATCTTTGTGTGTCTGTTGCTGCTCTGTGGTGTTTGCTGCTGCTGCTGCTGCTGCAGTATCTGTCTCTGTTTGCTTCTTGCGGTGTATATGCAGTGCTTCACTCTGTCTCCTTTTATCCTGTCTCCCCTTCTATGGGGAATGTCAGGACGCAAGGGGCTATATGCGTAGCTCCAGCCCCAGCAGCAGCAGCAGAAACAGCAGCAGCAGCAGCAGCAGCAGCAGCAGCAGCAGGAGGTAAGAAGAAGCAGCAAGGGAAGACTCTGCCTTTAACAGCATACTTCGCCGCCTCAAACAAACGACAAAAAACAAATCC